GACCCATCGAATCCGAATTTAAGACATTTTAAGACTTTTTAAGGCCTTATATTAGGAAAACGTTATTTAAGACATTTTAAGACTTTTTAAGGACCCGCGGACACCCTGAAACTTGAATTGAATTGAATTGCATATTAGACAATATAAACTCTATTAATCTTTCACCTCTGATACACCATGATCTCTTCCAGTATCTCTCTAAAACGCTGTTTAGATGACATAAATGCAACCTTTTTCACAAACCACTTGACCTCAAAAGAAACACACAGACCACTCGACAACGCTACAATGAGCTGACTGACATAATCAGTGAAGCACCTTAAAATACCAAATGTTAAAGGATATATTTCTGCATAATTTAGTTCAAAATTGAAATATTTGGTAAGATCCTCCCCAGAAGAGATTAAAACACATTACTCCAGGTTATAAACACTACCTAAAGCATGTCTGTCATCCGACTGTATCTGCTATTATTCACTCTCTTTAAACTGTCTCTCAGCCTTTCAAGTAAATACCAGCTCAGATGCAAACACACACAAACATGCTCATTTACATCACAAATAGCTTGGCTATGAATAAAAATGCCAAAATCTTGCACTTGTCAGGAATTGAGTGATGGGGAAAAAACGCAAAATTGTACCTATTTCTTATTGTCGTTTGCAGAATGAGAGGCTCTTTGTTATTCTCATGGAGACAGAAAATGGAATAGAGGAGTTTGCTGTATTGCACAATGGAGCTATTCAAGAGCCATTAAAAAAAAAAGCCTACATATTCACTTAGAAAACGATTTCTAAGCACTTCCATATAAGGTAAAAATATGCCTGGAGGTTTTCTAGAGGTTTTTATGGTCACATTATAGATCACACGTAATGCAACACAGCCATAAGACTAGTGACCTTTAACCCCAGCTGACAGAGGTCAGAATGGCAGTCTAAAGTTGACCTTTACTGATGTTTTAAAATGAGCTCAGGGTTAAACCACCAAGATTGCCTATGCCAATTCTTTCTTTCTGTTTATTAAACTTTTTATTGAAATGGATAGTGTATTAGAGCTGCACAATACAAAATTGCATCTATGATGAAAACGTATTACAGTATTTCATTTAAATCTACTTCCATTCCATCATTTTGTATTTTGTAGCTTGTGTTTTTGTCTTTTTTTTTCTTGTTGTGTTCATAAATGTATGCATTTAAATTATTCAACAGTATTAATTTTTTGGGATATATTGTCAACTTTATTGCATAGACACTATTGGATGAGAACTGAACTGAGCTGGACGATAACATCACTGAATCAACAATGAACTGCCCTTAACTGAAAAAAAATTACTGTTTACTATTACCCTTTTTTTAGAGCTGCTCTAGAGCAGAATTTTATTTTGTTTGAATTATTGACACACTATATTCCTGTTTAACACTGTAAAGCTGCTTTGACACAATCTATATTGTATAAAGCGCTATATATATGAAGAGTTCCAGTGCAAAAGCCTCTAAAAGCCATCTTGGTCAAAAATTAGATAACGATACTGAGTGAATGCTCTCAACACATAGTATATGTTCACCAAGTACTTTCACTTCAAATGCGCTAAATCCCAGCCTCAACCTATTCAGAAGTACCAGTACTTAGAAACCTATAGCCAGAAAGAAATGCTAATTTTAAAGAAAAACGTGAGACGTACTTAGAGGCTTTTGCATCTGAACTCTTCATATATAAAAGTGACTTGACTTGAGTTGAGTACTATCTCTTATTAGGATCAACAACCGGTCCGAAGCGACGTTTCTCATCAGTCTCATCCACAGATTAATTTTTTATACTTCCATTAGCTATGGAATAAATAATAAACATAAAGGTGCTTGGTGTAAATGTGACTTCTTGAGCTGTGCTTCATACATTGCTACACTATTGACAATGCAATTGACATTTTTTCCTGGAAAATTTCACCAAAACATTGCTAATGTGACCACTCTTTAACACTACAAGGCATACACACAATGTAAATAGGGGATTCACTGTACTATTTACGTTACACATTGACTATAATGGCAACCTTTACAAGAATTCACAACACGGTGAGCTTGATGGGTCAGTGAGCTTATGTTGTTTTTCATACTACTAAAAGGGTCAGTGAACCATAAACAGCAATAAAATAATTCAGGGAGACAGATCTCTGCTTGCTATGATAATTCAGTTTCCAGATAAAAAAAACAGTGGTGGACAGTCATTTTACTTAGTGTACTTAAGTAAATTTTTCAAGTATCTGTGCTTTATCAGAGTATTTTTATTTTGAGAAACTTTTACTTCACTACATTCCAAAGCATAATATTGGACTTTTTACTCCATTACATTTCCTAAAAATGTTGTTCCTCATTATTTTGAACTGGAGAAATTGATAGTAGTGTCCGATTTGTGAACAGGCTGATTCTTTTCAATGAACCTGTTAAATCGGTTCACAAATCGATTCATTTGCTAACTGATCACTGATTCAATGATCCAGTCAGAGTGAGTCTCCAGTGAATTCACAAGTCTGACTCCGAATGAGTCAAGAATGGATATTCTCGGAGCTTGAGTGTGCGCACAACTGATGCTGTGAAAAGTAAGTTACCAATGCCAAATTTTAGGATTGATTATTTTAAATGAAAATCATATTCAGACCTTATTCAGACCCAAATCATATTTATTAGTTGTTTGTGAACTAAATCTTCTGTAAATGAGAGAGTTGTTTAACCCCACTGCATGAAATGCTTGAATGCTGACATGTCCACGTGTGTATCACTGTCTGAAAACCCCCCAAAACAAAACAAAACATAACATTAAGATAATGCAAATTAATGCCCATGCATCTTACCCTCTACCATAGCAGTTTCAAATGATATACAACTAGTATGTACAGTGGGTACGGAAAGTATTCAGACCCCCTTAAATTTTTCACTCTTTGTTATATTGCAGCCATTTGCTAAAATCATTTAAGTTAATTTTTTTTTCCTCATTAATGTACACACAGTACCCCATATTGACAGAAAAACACAGAATTGTTGACAGTGTTATTCTTAAAATGTTATAGGCTACATTTCCCCTAATGTGACATTTATTTTTATATTGTTTGTCAACACACATTTAGTTTTTCCTCATTTTTTAAATACTATACCAGGGATCCTCAAATCTGGCCCACGAGATCCACTTTCCTGCAGAGTTTAGCTCTAACCCTAATCAAACACACCTGAGCATGCTAATCACAATGTCTTCAGGATCATTAGAAAATCACAGGTAGGTGAGTTTGATCAGGGTTGGAGCTAAACTCTGCAGTGCATTGGCCCTCCAGGGCAAGATTTGAGGAACACTGTACTATACGTTATATATGTATCTGCACCCACTAATCTACCTTATTAGCGCTGGCTACTTGACTATTCATAATCATTCATAATGATGTCAGACCACCCACCAAGCCTCCCTCCCCCAGGTATTTTGAGCAATGGAATTATATGGAATATATAATATAAAATTATTAATATACAATTACAAAAGAAATGCACATTCATCGATCAGTACTTTTTACTTGTAATACTTAAGTACATTAAAAATGACATACTTTTGTACTTTTACTCGAGTAAAACTGAAAAAGAGTACTTAATACTTTTACTGGAGTAATATTTTATTAGGGTATCTTTACTTTTACTCAAGTACTTGATTTGTGTACTTCATCCACCACCGCAATAAAAGTGCTTTATAACATATAAATTCTATAATTGTTTTGCCCTATGGTGCACACTGCACAGAAAAACAGGTGTGCTTCTTTTGAAATGTTTTTTCAAACAATGATACCTTCTGCCCTTCCTTCTGAAAATAACCTTTTAGTTTCTGCATGCTCTCCTTCCTGTTGTGTTGAAAGCTCTTCACTGCAATAGATGCAATGCAAAGAAGCAATTAGACAAATGGCATATACACTCAAGTAATGCACCTTCTTTTATCTATTTCAAGAAAAGCTTAGTCTATAGATTGAGTGTATTCATTAAAAAGTCTTCAAGCTACCCTCCATTTCCTGGGCCATTACAATGCGGCTGTGATCTAAATTCTATGCCAGTCCTCTATGCCCTGACTCTCCTCATTTTCTTCACTTCGACCTGCTTGGAGAGTACTTTGTCTTGTAAAAAGTCCAAAAAAGACTGCCAGACTGCTTTGAGGGTTCTTTCGAGCCTTGCCGATACTCAGGAAGTCAGGCTGCTCGATTTGTATGTGTGTCAGCACTTGCGTCCTTTCTTCTAACCTACATTTGAAAAACCAGACTGGCCAAGATGGCAAGGGAATGCAAGGTTCATATGTAGTTAAAATAAACATTAACTCTGCCAAGTAACATTAATGTGGTCCTGCAATTTCTGAAAAGGATAAGGCTATCTCTCCCCAAAAGGCTTACAGTACAGTCAGACTCAGACTGTGACTCCATTGCACTGGTTCATCTCCGCATTTGGCAGAACAACCAGAAGGTGATGGAGATACCTGTTCCCTTTTCTCAGGAGATCTGCAGCTCAATTCATTATTCAACTGTCTGAACTCCAGCACAACTTCCTGGACAGTTTTACCATTCACAGATAAATTCAGCACCACTCCCAAATCTCCACCTTATTAGCTGGATCTAGATGCAGTTTTTTGCTAATATATTTCAATGGATATGTATTCAACAACTAACTGCACAGCAATTTGAAAAACAGTTTGCAATAAAAATCTGTCAGCAGTATATTAAGATTTTGAATGTTATTTTTAGTATGAACTTATGCTCAAATGTTAAAAAAAATAAAAATGTTTTATTTACTCAGAGTAGTCCACTCACGACTGCTGAGATGGGAATTAGGAAATCTTCCAGTTAGTCAGTAAGAAGTGTGAAAGAAACAAAATAAGAGTCATTTCAAAGATTGTGTGAGGGTGTTCAGCAAATGTCAGTGCCTTGTAATCAGATACATTTTTCTTCAGTTATATGTATGAGTTAGTCATTTAAAGAGGTTACTTACTGATTTCGTTCAACTTGTAGAACCAATTTCAAGTCCTGGGCTGAGACTAGAATCTCCCCTCTCTCTGGGAACTGGTCCTGATGAAACAGAAATATAACTCTGTTCACTTTAAAAATCAGAGCTATCCATGTCATTTCTGTCAAAAGAAATGAACTGGTGTCATAAGACAATTAGTTGAGTTGCCAATGAGTTGGTATTATTACTTTATAATCATTAAGAATTGGCAACAAACCCATATTCCTCTGTAAGGCAGAGGTGTAAAGAGTACCTGAAAACTATACTTGAGTAAAAGTACAGATAGCTTACAGCGAAAATGACTCAATTACAAGTTACAAGTCACCAATCACAAAACGAATAGTTTTGTAAAAGTCTTAGAGTATCTGATTTTAGCAGTACTTAAAGCTACAGTCCGTAAGTTTTGCTTCTTTTTGAAAACCTGCAATTGCAGCTGTGTGCAGAATTATCTTCCTTGCGTGGGTTGTGCGCCGGCATGGCTCCAGCGTGGATGAATCTGTTTTGAGGAGTATGTGTGGCAGTCAGTCACCGCACCGGTGTGGATATTGTACTTTGCACTCACAGATTCTAGCCTACGTATTGGAATATCTAACTCAAATAAGCATTTTCACTGGATATTGTCATCTGAACAAGTAACAAGTCTGCCACATTTGTTCTGACCAACTGAGGAAAAAAGCATTACAATAAATTGTGCTACCAATGCTGATTTAATCTAAATTAGCTCATATCACATCAAACCGTGCAAATTATTATTAGTTATACTTTATTCTCAAATTGTTAATGTTAACATCATCATTGCTTGACTATGAGTATAGTGTGTATAAGCGAGTAGATTTCAATTTCTGTACAGTCTAATCTCTAATTGTCATACCACTCAAATTTCATATTAAGAAAATTATTTTAACCCAAAAAGAAAATTATGCTCCCTTATAACAGGTTGTCTTTAAAATACAAATCTTGTGTAATCCCATCTGTAATCAGAAGCACATTTAAAACGGGAATATAATTTAATTTCATTCACATGTGTTTCATATACACATAATCATTTCTGGATTACAATCCGCCATCAAAATGATACATTTAATTATTCCAGCTGCTGTGAGAAAAGGCTATAAACGATCCGCCACCTGCAGGATCCTCACATGCGATAGCCTAGTAGCCGGGACAACTTCTTTATGTTTACAGATGTGATGTAATAATGCAGCGGCATGCTCGAATTTCCCGCGAAAACCTACCCGTACCACTTAAATTAGAAAACATTATTATAAGCTAACCGTTGTGAATCGGGCTAAAGTAAGGCGATAGTTACGAACACTGGCTGGTTATGTACTTGCTCAAATATTGATTTTGGATTATTTTTAACCAAAAAAAGTTACGGACTGCAGCTTTAAGTATTTTACTCATACTTAATGTAGACTCAAAGATGCATTAGAGAAATGCCAGTGAAAAACAAGACACATTTGGTTTTTGAGTAGAGCAATCATGTTTATTTTTGTGTAAGTAAAATTAAAAAGTCAAAGCCTCCTTGCGCTAGACGTGCTGGTTTCAGCTTCATTGCTGGCTGCAGTAATGTCCTCATCTCATATATAAAACACTAGCGATTCACAACTACCTGCTAATGCACTCGCATTCACATAAAGAAGCCTTGTTGACAAGTTTAGGTGAGTAAGGGCAAACGCACAATATATAGTACCTTTAATGCCATGTAGATGGCAATATTGCTTCTTTTGTAGCAGAAATAATCTGCTGCAGAAAAAGTTAGGTGTCATGCAAAATGTAATTAGTAACTGCAACACTCATTACAAATATATTGGTGTAAACCAAGTACTTATACATATTCAAAAATGTAGCGAAGTGTAAAAGTTGCTAATACCTTTGATACTCAGTAAAACTACAAAGCAGCCAAAAAGATACTCAAGTACAGTAACTAATTACATTTACTCAAATACATTTCTCCACTGCTGTAAGGTAACAAAACAGAATATTCAAAAGACAAAATGCAGGTCAGGACTTAATATTATCTAATAGTCTGTGCAACAAAGTTGATGTCAACAGAAAAGTTTTTCATAAGTGAAGTAATTTGATGAAATATTCAAAAGACAATTTGTCTTTGGAATAATGTGCACTGATGAATATTGGGCAATAAGAATGGCAATGTGCACAACTATTTAATGGTTTGGGGTCAGTGAGATTTAAAGACTTTTACATTGTTACAAAAGATTTCGGTTTCAAATAAATGAAAAAATATATATCATGGTTTTGCAACTGTTTTCAACAGTAATAATAATAAGAAATGTTTATTTGAGCACCAAATCAGCAGATTAGAATTGTTTGTCTAGAGCAGTGTTTCCCAACCTTTTTTTAGTCGCGGCACCCTTTGGAAATTTTAACAAACTTGTGGCACCCTACAAAATTTATTTTGTCACAATATTTGAATTTCTAACTTCGATATGATAATTTGAAAAGTATAGATATTCGGTACAACAGGGAAGAATTGCAGAATATAATTTCAATTCAATTCAATTCAAGTTGATTTGTATAGCGCTTTTCACGATACAAATCGTTGCAAAGCAACTTTACAGCAAATTAAGTTTCTACAATATTTAGTGGTAGCTTATCAGTGGTGACCGTCAGTTAATGTACATATGGCAGAACTGTACCGAAAAATCAATTAAAGACGTAATCAAACAGACGACACTATTAACAGCAATTATTATATGATGCAATCAAACTTATAGCAAAATGTGGTAGTTCTGTATGTTGTTTTGGGGTTGGCATCATCTGAGGTCCTCTGAGGGGTTGGCATCATCTCTTCTCAGGTGTTCTGGATCCAGACTGAAGCTTGTGTAAAATGTCATACAGATATTTTTAATATTATTAAAAAATGTTGTCCATCAATGGTGGCAATCAGTAGGCTAATTTCTAATGAAGAGTCCAATTTATATGACATATTTTAATGTAGGCTTTTATACATACTGTATGTAAACATTATTTAATTACCATTATAAATAGCTATCTCACAAATATTTGCTCACTCTGTGTTTTTTTAATTTTACAGTGGGGTAATTTTGGTGCAGTAGCACGAGATAGCTTGATTTCTAACTTTGAATTGAATAAAAAATGACATGTAAGCAGTCAGTAATAAAATAAGAACAAATAAAGAAATGAATAATGATAGCACAAATAAAAAATAATGACAGGCCTTCGAATTAAATAAATTGCTTTTTAGTTTTTCAGGTAGGTCTAACAGTAGGGTTAAGATATTTAACATTTATTTATTTTTTTATACCAATTATATAAATAATGTTTAGTCCTAGAAAGCTATTATTATCAGAACACGTGAGCATAACAGCATAACATGCAGATCAATGAATGAGAGGGCAGCGTTACCAGACTTGCCCATATACCACACCATGTTACACACAGTAGGACAGTAGGGAGACAGCAACAATACTGTACTACATATGATAGATGTTTCCTGTCAGCTTGATTTTTGAGTGGACTTTGTTGTTCCGATTCGTATGAACGGTATATGAGTGGAGCGACTGAGCGGAGTGCACACACATAGAGCGGATAATACACAGAGCGTCACACCATGTGAAAGTGAAACCTGAGCGGTG